TCAGCAGGATTGGATCTCAGAGACCACGCGCTTGGGATAGAGGGTGTACTGCAGCCAGGTGGGCTCTGCAATGAGATGGCCAGGGTCAACGAGAGGGAAAAGAGGGGACCCTAACCCTCCCTCTCCAAGCCCAACAGATTACCTCTTCCTCACCCACAGCCCCCTTCCAGATTCCCACCTGGCTGTTGCACATCTCAAACAATTCCCCCCACCCAGGCCACTCACCGTTGTAGCACACTGGCAGGGGCAGGACCCCGTCGAAGCAGCGGGTTGACGCCAGGTAACTACAGGTCTGGTTGTGGTTGCGGCAGTAGAAGCTTACAGTCTCCCCATGTTGGACCAGCCCCTCAGGGATCTCCTGAACCCACAGCTTCATGCCCTGGTACAGCACACGGCTACGCTTGGCTGGGACCTCGCAGCGGGCTACGGAGGTAGGATGCTGTGCTAGATAGGCCTGATGCAGGGCAGGTTGGGGTGGGATACTTGGGTAGGTGGGGCTAACCCTGGGGGGAGGGGGCTAGGTGGGCTCTGTGGGCATTCCAGGTCTGGGCCGGGCATTACCTCTGCAGAAGGGCTGCGGGGACCAGGTGCCATTCTGGAGGCACGTGACGCGGTTGGAGCCGTCCATCAGGAGGCCTCGTTTGCAGAGGTAGTAGATCACCTCTCCTGCCCGGTACTGTGCCTTCTTCACCGCTACCAGGTAGCCCTTGGCCACGGCCTGTGGCGGGGGGCAGAACATGGCTGGAGGCACATGGACAGCAGGGTCAGGCAGGCAGGCAAAGGAATGGATGTGTGAGTGGGGGATAGATGGGCAGGGAAGGTGGGGATGGATTGATGGATGGATGAATAGAGTCCTAGTTATAGGGAACTCGGCCTGGAAGGCTCCTCAAGCGGGCGTCTAGTTCACCCGCATGCCTGAAGCAGGATCAGACCTCTCCAAATCAACCCCTACAAATCCATTATCTAACCACTTTGTAAAAGTACTGACACCACACAGGACATAACACCTGAACCTGCCACTGGTAAAGCAGGGGGACCACGGCAGCTGATGTCTGGCTGCTGTAAAAGGTTGTTAATATACAGTCAAGAAATCCCAGGTAGAGGCCATGGCCCTGCAGCAGAAGAAGGCAAAAACCCCCACAGTCTGCACCAATCTGACCAGGGGGTAAAATTCGTTCCTGATCCCAAATATGGTGATTGGTTTGACCCTGAGCAGGGGACAAGACCCTCCAGCCAGGAACCTCCAGCTTTAAGTCCCAGTAAGAGCACAGGCACAGCCCAGACAAAATCCCCAGCCTTGGCTGCAGCCAATAATGTGTGGGGCTGGACAGGCAGGTGGAGGGGCTGATGGAGGAGTTTATGGGTAGTGTGTGGAGACTGCCAGGAGTCAGGGCAGCAGGCAGACTAAGATGCCCCCAGCTGGCCATGGTTACTCCAGTAGGCCTGGCTGCCTGAACTGCCCCAACTGGCCCCAGTTGCATGGGTGTGGCTGCTTGCTTATAAAATAAAGCTTGTTCAATGCCCAGAAGGCTACTGGACTGGATGGGGGCTTTGGGCCAACTCTGGGCTGTGATGCCTTGTTTATACTTTCTGCTTGTTGGCTCCCTGCCTGCTGACTCTGTTCTAGACTCCAGCCGGGGCCTCTGGGCTCCAGACAGATGTGCTGGCCCCTGACCCCTTTCCCTGCCCCACCTTTTGCTCCTGACTTCCCTGTCTTCTGACCATGAGGTCCTGGCTCATGGCTGTAGTTTAGCCATCAGTCACCCATGTTCTGGTCCTTTACAGCTACAGCTGCTGGCTCCAGCCCTCTAGCTAGTGACTCTGGTCTCCTGACCAGCACCCCCAGCTTGTGGCTCTACTTCTGTGATCACCCACATCTTGGTCCCTTATGGGCCTTGGCCTCCTTACCCACCTGCTCCTGATCCCCTAATACTTGGCTCTAGTCTGGACCCTGTGTGCTCCTGGTTTCCTGGGTTGTGACCCTCTGGGGTCAAGCCCTGACAGGGGCAGATGGGAGGGTGGATGGTGTGTGATGTGGGAGTAGGTGGATGCAAGGTGGTGACAGGATCTCTCATACCCCATCCCAAGAGCATGGTCCCTTGTTCTAGGTCTGGGTTTTCCTCCTGGCCTGCAGCCCTTCATCAGGGCAAAGGCAAACCCTGAGCCAGAGCCCTAGAGACTGGATCAGAATAGGGCCCCCCTGGACTGAAGTGACCTCCTGCTCCCACCCCTGGGCTATGTTCCACTTACAGCGGCATACAGGTGCAGGCCTAGACCATTCCTGGTTCTCTTGGCATCGGAGAGTATCCACCCCCTCCAGCTGGTACCTGTGGGGGAGGAAGTGGGAAGTGAGAGACAGCCCATTAGGGCTGGAGGGCACTGAGGGGGTGGAGGCGGGGTACTCACCCCCGCTTGCACTGGTACTGCACTTCCTGGCCTGCCCTATAGGAGGCACCATGGTGGAAGCCGTGGTCTATCTCTGGCGGAGGCCCACAGGACGCCAGGCTCAGGTCTCCTGCAACAAAGGAACGGGGAGGTATTGACTGGGGATACATCCTTGAGAGCCTAGAGTGCCAGAAAGCTGCTTCCCCCAAGCCCCACCAGCGATGGGGAATTACTGTGCCCCAGACACAACTTGGGAATTAAGGCTTCCAAGGTGGGAACAGAACGTGGTCCCTACACCAGCAGGGGGATGGAGTCAGGGATGGCCCCTCCCCTTTAAGAGACATTACCACCCACTCCCCCTGTACCTCCTGGAGCATGGCCACACCTCTTTCAGGAGGCCATGCCTGCATTTCCTTTGCCCTGCCCCTCCCTGAGTACCATTCTGCCCAACCTGCCTTCACCTATTCAGCCCCTCCCCTCCCCTCCACCCAGTTGGCTCCTCCCACTTCCCCCTGTCCTTTCCTTGGAATTCATTGGCCTTGCCCATTCCCTACAAGCTCCTCCCCCACTGGTCCCACCCCCCTCCCTATAAAACCCTCCCTCCCTTTCTCCAGTAGCTTTTTTCCTCCTGTGTTTTTTTTTTTCTGCCGTCTTCTGGGTTCTGCCAGCTTGGTGGGATGCCTGGTGCTGCCACGAAGGGTAGCTCTCTGCGCCCCCCAAATAGGGATGGAGGCACGAGGGTGCAGCAGGGGTTCAGGACAACCTGGGTTCCTTCCCTAGAGACCTCAGGGCCAGGCAGCGGTGGGGTTCATAGGGTGGCTGTGACACCAGGGCAAGAGCCTGGGGTTGGAGGCAACAGTTTCTGAGGTACTTTGAGGGGTCAGAACCTCAGGTGTGGAGAGGTCCTTGTACCTGCAGCACCGTACCAACACCCAGGGCTCTGATGGAACCCAGGTGTCCTGGTTTCCAGCCCTACGCACTAGGCCCCACTTCCCTCCATGAGCTGGGATAGAACCCATGCATCCTGGCTCCAAGTCCTCCTTCCCTCTCCTCTTCTTCCCTTGCTGTAATCTGCCTGCAAGTTGCCTGGTAGCTGTGTTACATCTGGGTGAAGTTTCCATGAGGCCCCAGGCGCTGCCCTGTGGGAGGTGACCCCCTAACCCCCTTTAGCTCCAGGCGAGCTATCCCAGGAGGCCCTGAGAGGGCAGCGGGACACAGACCAGGATGGCTGTGGTGCCTCCAAATGTAGGTCTGCTCCTGCGGGGGATGTGTTCCCCTTCACACCTACCAGCCCAGACGATTCCGCCTGCCCCCGCAAAACACCACCTGGCCTGGGCTGCCTGGCTGGATGCTATAGGGAGGGGAAGCATGGCGGCCTGGGAGCCAGGACACTTGGGTTCTACCCTAGCTCTGGTGAGGGATGTGGTGTGTCAGAGCAGGGAGGCTGGCAGCCAGGACTCCTGGGTTCTCCCAACTCTGGGTGTATGGTCTAGTGGCTTAGAGCCAGGGCCCAGACAGCCTGGACTCCTGGGGTCCATCCCCATGCATGGTAGAGGGCTGTGGCTGGGTGCTATCAAGGCCATTGCTTCTTGTGTGCCTGAGCTGGAAGCATGCCCTGAGGCAGGGAGTGGATGTGGTGAGTGACCTGTGGGGGTAGCTTGCAAGCTGAGCACACCATTGATTGTGTTGGTGTGGGTTGTGCCAGCAGCAGATGGGCAGTGCAGTTCATGGTGGTTGTGATTGCTGACTTGCTGATTGGGGCTGGGCGTTGTGGTTGGTGGCAGGTGTGAGGTTGGTGGGCGAATGTGCACAGGACCAGGTGGTTGCTATGGTATCTGTGGCAGTTATTTTGGGTGGCAGTGTGGGCAGCAGGGGCTTGCTGGCTGGTGACAGGGTTGGGTTATGGGGGATAGCTGGCAGAGGTGGGGCATGCTGGTCTGGACAGTGAGTGTGGGTGGCTGGCAGTGTGACAGCATTGGCAGAGGGTGTTTGTGGTGGTTGGGGGGGAGCTGGTCACATTGTTAGCAGTGGGTGTTGGGGATCAGTGATGGTATTGGCAGTGGGGATTGGTGGCCAGTAACAGTGTTGGCAGTGGGGGGTTGGTGGACAATGATGGTATTGGAAGTGGGTATTGGGGGCTGGCTGCTGAGGCCCTGGGGCTCAGAACCTTACGTCGACATGGTGGGGTCAGGCTCCACCGCCGGTCTCCCTGGCATCGGCTGAGTGCTGCCCCCTGCCTGGCGCCCATGATGAAGCCCGTCTGGCAGGTCACCTCCATGAGAGCTCCGAAGCTATGAGTCTCTTGGACCAGGTGGGTCTTGGCATTCTCTACCTTCACTGGCCATGAGCAGCTCCGGCCTGGGGACACAGAAATAACAGGGTTGGAAGCCAGGACTCGTGCGTTCTCTTCCCAGCCTGGCAGGGTGGGAGCAGGTAGGTGATGGGCTGTGGGCTGGACAGGTCCTTACCAGGCATGACGCAGCTGAGCCCACAGGCACCATCACACAGGCACTGCCGCCGGCCTAGGCAGTCGCGGTCATGCCGGCACTTGCGCTGGCATGTCTGGTTGGCCAGATTCACTGTGGCACTCTCCTCCCTCCAGGATGCACAAGGGCCAGGCTGGGTGGCACCTGTGGGGGCAGAGACATTAAAGTGGGGAATGCCTTGGGGTAACTTCCCTTGTCACCAATGGGGAAACTGACGCCCAGCAGCTAGACAGAACTTGCGGCCAACAGAATGCACAAGTCCTGGCTCCCAGGCCCCACTCCCCTCATGGGGCTGAGCTGGAACCCAGGAGTCCTGGTTCCCAGGTTCCCCCTTGCTCTACCCCATCAAGTCCCACTCCCTCCACCCCCTAGAGCTGGGATAGAACTCAGGAGTGCGGCCCACCTGTGTTTCAAGTTGGGGAGGGGCAAGGTGGCAGTGAGTGGAGGGGAGGACTCTCCATCCTTCCCCTGGAAGGACAAGGGGCAAGGGACAGGGCATCCTGCAGTCCCTTCAGTGACCCGTGAGTGGCAGGTCAGAGCTAGGAGTGGGGTTGAGATCTTGGCTTGGCCATGCCTGTCCTGTCTGTCCAGCTCATCCTCATGCCTGTTCTGTCAACTTATCTCCCGCTGTGCGTGTCTGTCTCTCCACCCTCATGAGTACCCCCTATCTGTCCACCCATCCCTAGAAATGCTCCTGCCTGTCTGCCTGTTCCCCGTGCATGCTCCTCCAACTGTCCAACCCCACGGGGAGCCAGCCCTCTGTCTGGCTATCCATCTAACCCCATACACTTCCCTGTCTGTCTGTCCATACCCCCCAGCCTGTCAGTCTGTCTGTCTCGCACAGACTGACTGGGCCCAGGATTGGGCCCGTTCCCGGAGCTGCCCGAAGGCTATTTACAGCCTACGGCATCCCCTGGGTGGAAAGAGAAAAATGAGCTGGAACCAGGACGTGAAGGGACAGAGCGGGCACATGGCGGCCCAGCCCCCCGCCTGGGTTCTACCCCGCTGTCAGTAGGGAGGAGGGTCTAGTTATTAGGGCAAGGGGTGGGGGAGGCTGGGAGCCAGGCAGGACTCTTGGGTTCTCTCCTAGCTCTGGGAAGGGATTGGGGGCTGGTGGGCTGGAGCAAGGGGCAGCTGGGGAACCAAGACTCCTGGGTTCTGTCTCAGCCCTGGGAAGGGACAGGGGTCTGGTGGGTTTGAGCAGAGAGAGGGGGTGGGATTTAGGAGCCTGGACTCCTGGGTCCTTCCTGGGTGGGGGAGGGGATCAGTACGGGAAAGGGAGCAGGGAACAGTGAGTAGGGAGCGCCTGTGAGCCTGAGGTGGGGGTGCCAGCCTGGCATGGAGGGCAGAGCCCCCAGCTGGCGGGGGGTCCCATCTAGGGCCCATACCTTTGGCTTTGTTGCCTCCCAGGGGCAGCAGCAGACAGAGCAAGGCCAGGATCAGGGGGGCGCTGTGGGGCATGGTGGGGCCTGTCGCATCCGTGTGACACTGATGACTTGGGGCCTGGGCGTTTGTACCCCCAGTTACTGATTAACCGGGTCCTGCCTGTGCCAAAGGGCAGGATGATCCTGGAGCAGCCACCCCCCTCCCACCCTGCCTGGACCTCTGACCACCCTTCTCCCTGGCCTTGTGCCCCGCTGCACAACAGTCTCTCGTCATCGCAGACGGTCAGCCGCAGGCATACTGCCCACTGTGGGACCCAGGCCTCCGGGCTCCCAGCCCCTCTCCCCATGCTGAGCCACCAGACCCCACTCCCCTTCCTGTGCTGGGGATAGAACCCAGGTGTCCAGGGTTTTCCCTCCTCCTCTACTCTTAACTCACTGTATCCTGTTCCTTTCCTGGAACTGGGAGAGAACCTAGGCATCCTGCCCCCCCAGCCCACTAGACCCTGCTGTCCTCCTGGTCCCAGGCTGTGGCCATGGGTGGGTTTGGCTCTGGGGGCTCCTGTGAGGGTGGGGTAGGGATTGTGAAGAGGCACGTGGAGGGTGGGGACCAGGCAGGCAGGGTGGGCGTCCCCAGGGCTGGCTGGGGGGGCACTTCAGGCCTAGCCTGGGGACCCGCCCCCCCATGCACTCAGTCTCCTTTAAGGCAGACTCCTCCCCCCCAGAGCTGTCAGCACCCCTCCCCCGCCCCCGGTTCCCCCTGCCAGCCGGCAGCCCAGGCACACACAGCTCTCGTGCCCACCTCGCCTCGCTGGCACTGCTGCATCTCACGCCTGCTGCCTCACCCCCACCCACCAGCCCTCGCCATCCTCCTGCCTGGCTCGTCTGTCCGTCGCTCCGGGCATCCTTCACCCGCCGTCTGTATCTGTGCATCCTTCTGCTCGCTCTGTCTTGTGGTCCGTCTGTCTGTCCATCCACCCATTATTTCTCCGCCTGTCGGTTTGTCCGTCTCCCCCTGGGTGTGTCCATCTGGTCTGTTCAGCTCATCTCACATCTGTCTGTCCATCTGTCTGTTTGTCCGGCCCTGCCGCCCTTCCTTCATCCATCTGCCCACCCCGTTGTTCATTGTCTCTGTCTGTCTGTCCATCTATCTATCCGTCTGTTCATACATCCCTCTGTTTATCCATCCAGCCGTCCATCCACCCATCCATTCGTGCCTCCTTGCCTGCTCGTTGGTGGCTCCATCTGCCTGTGTGTGGGGGTCACCCACCGGGCTGTGGGGCGTGGGACCATGGCACTGGTGGGGTCCTCACCCGAGCTGGACTGCCGGGCCAAGCCGCTGTTCTGCCGCAAAGGGGCGCTGCGCCAGAAGGTCGTGCACGAAGTCAAGAGCCACAAGTTCACGGCCCGGTTCTTCAAGCAGCCCACGTTCTGCAGCCACTGCACCGACTTCATCTGGTGAGGCCCCTGAACCCCTGCCCTGGCAGCCCTCCAGTGCCTGCCCTACATACCTCATCCCCTTCCCTGTATCACTGCCCATGTGCCATACATTTCCCGCCCCCAACCTGCATCCCCCATCCCCACCTCCCTAAATCCCCCATCCCCAGCCCACACCTATGCCCCTGCCCCATGCATACCCACCATCCCTCTGTATGCCCCCACCATGGCCTTGCAACTCCCGCCCCGGCCTCTGCATCCCCCGCCCGTACAGTCCCCGTCCCTACCCCACATCCTCTTCCCCTGCTTCATACACCCCCACCCCGTACACCTCCACCCTGCCCTGCATTCCCCACCCCTGCCTGGCCTGTCTGGCAGCTTGGGCATCTTTGCCTGGCGAGACCCCTCTAAACACCACAGCATTGCCCTGGACCCTTACTGGGCATGCATCCAGGCCAGCCTACCTCTAGGATACCACCTGTTCAGGTCCCCTCAGCAACCTCCTGTCCTGTGAACACCCCCCACCCACACACCAATGCTTACCAAGTACCCCCAGCAGCTGGGGATGGCATGTGGCTAGGTGGGGGCAGACACCCCCAAAAGCACCTGCCTTACTGCCTCTCTGGGGGGGCTGTCCCCTCCAGGCCCCACCAGCCCTCAGTGCCCTCACTCTCACCTGCAGCCTCCTTGGGTTGATAACACCCCCACAGCCAGAGGACTACCCCCCACCAGTGTCCCTAGCCCAGTGATGTACCTGGCCCATTGGTGGCTGCACCTGGATGGTGGGATGGGGAGATTGTGTGGGGGTGAATCCTAGTGGTTAGAGAATTGGGGGTGGGGGACAGGACACCTGGGGTTTTTTAAAGTGCTGGTTTAGGAATGAATCTGATGGGTTAGAGCAGAGGTGTCTGGGGGACAGGATCGCGGGCCCTATCCCAGCCCTGTGAGGGGGACAATATGGGGACTTCATGCCCTTCTCCTTGGGATATCTGGACCCAGTCTGACTCTGGTACCCCACGCTGAGGGAGCTAGGGAAGACCAGGGCCTGCGGGTGGCCTGATGCCATGGCCAGTGGAACAGGTGACCCAGAGACCCCTCTTTCTCCCCCCAGCTACTTGTGCCCTCCTCCCACCCATGACTGTGAGGCAAGGTGCCAAGTGTTTGATAACAAATGCCACCGCAAAACAGGAGCTCTGGAGCCAGCCCCAGGGGTGTGAGGGTGGGGGCAGGGGCGGGGTCTAATGGATGGGAGAGGGCTGGGAACCAGGACTCCTGGGTTCTCTGTCACTCTTTCTCTCCATCCCAACTCTGCCAGTGCCCCTCATCCCTGCCCCCTTGCCAGCCCAGCCCAGCCCTGGGCTCCCCTTCCATCAGCAGCTTGCCCAGCCCTGGGCTTATCAAGCACTTCAAGCACTCAGGGGGGCAGAACGCGGGAGTCCTGGCTCCCAGCCCCCATCCCTTCACAGAGCTGGGATACAACCCAGGCATCTGGGCTCCCAGACCCTTGTGGGAAGGGTCTGTGCCCCACCCAGCTGTTGGGGTGTACTGTGTGTATGCGGGCGGAGGTGCTGGTGTCTCCCCAACTAATGGCATATGTGTCTCTTGCTTTCAGGGGCATCGGGAAGCAGGGCCTGCAGTGTCTGGGTAAGTGCCCCCATGCCCCTGGCACCCCCACTCCACTTTGCCCCTACCCTCAGCTTACTGGGGTCCTGTCTCCCACCGCCGTGTAGGGGAACACAGCCCCAAATGTGCCCCATCCCAGAGCCAGTTGCAACTCAGCACTGATGAGGGGCCCTGTATAAGCATCCTCCACCCCATGATCAGACCACTAGATCCCACTCCCCTCCCAGAGCTAGGGGAAGAACCCAGGAGTCAGGGCCCCGTTTCTCAAAGTGGTTTAAGGGAGTCAAGCACTGGTTGTGTGACTGAGGGAGTTCACTCACTGGCGTGTGCTGGGGTTCAGGGAAAAGTGGAATTTTCCAGGCGTTCTTCTAAGGACAGTCAGAGATTTCAGACCAAGTATTAAAACAAGGGGCAGGGGGATGGGGAGCCGAACTCCTGGGTTCCCTCCCAGCTCTGGGAGGAAAATGGGGTATAGCAAGTTACAGTGGATGAGGAGGGGAGCCAGGACTCCTGGGTTCTCTCCTTCCCACTGGCTCCAGCGTCTCCTGACCCCTGGGATTGTCCACATCTCTTACCCTCTTGGGCTCCATCGCTGATGTATCACAAGTTGCCAGGTCTCAGCCCAGTTGTCTGTGTGGCAGGTGGTTCATTTCACTCCCCCCTCACTGCCTGTGGCGCTGGGGGGTCTCTTGGGGGCACAAGTTCATGAGAGGGGGCTGTGTTGTTGGGGGTCACTGTGGGGGAGCAGAGGGCATCTTAGGAGTGTCAGGGCTGGGGAGAGGGTGCTGGGGGCTGTGAGGGAGGGGCCTCTCTCCCCCCCGACCCCCTGCAGACATGGCTTCAGGGGTGCCCCTGCCCTGGCTGAGGGCGTGGCTCTGCCTGTGACTGGCAGGTGAGGTACGGCCCTGGAGAAGGGAGGGAAGGGGGCTTCGGTTGCTAGGCAGCCTCCATGGCAGCTGCTGGTGGGATTGCTAGGCAACGAGCAGGTCTGGACTGTGAGGCAGGGGGATGTGCTGGTCCTGGTTGGAGGAGGGGAAGGGATCTCTATTGGGGAGACATTTCTGGGGTGCCCCCCAAAGGGAGCAGCCTGGAACCAGTGGGGAGGGAACTTGTCACTGGGGGTGGGGGAGGTAAGAGAGTGTGTGTGTGTGTGTGTGTGTGTGTGGGTGTGTGTGCGCGTGTGTAAGAGCATGGGGATGTGTGCCCATGGATGGGCCTGCAAGCACGCGCACACACATAGGCATGCGTGGACATCTGTGTGAGTGCACTGAGGTGCTTGTGAGCTCGTGGGTGTACACACATGTGTGTGGCAGCACATGTGTGTGTGGCAGCCTGCATGTGTGCATGGGCACATCCCTGGAGATGACGGTTCATGGAGGGGGCCTAGGAGTACGTGTGCAAGACAGTGTTTGCTCATATGTGGGCTCAGGCCCAAGGGCATGTGCAGACACATGTGACAGTGGCCACACATGCAGGTTTGACAGGTGGCAGTGTTGGGGGTGGGGGGTACATGTTTAGTGCATCCATGTGCAAGGGGACCTTGTTCACAAGCCTGTTTGGGGAGGAGCCACTGTAGGTGTCCAGGTGTGTGTGTGTTGTCAGCCACTGTTACATGCATTTGCCCCAGGCTAGTCATGCATGGCTGTACTCTCTGCCCCCCCCCACCCCATGCACACAGGCTCTGCTGGGACTGTGGGTATGCATGTGTGGGCATGAGGCTGCCGCCTGTGCCTGGCTCTCTTCTTGCCTCCTGGCAGTTGTCTGGGCTGGGAGAAATCTGCAGAAGCCTGTTGCTGTGAGAACCACTGGGCAATGGGGGCTGAGGGGTCAGCGTACATGGGTCTTCCCCTGTGAGTGTAGTGAGGTCTCTGGGTCTCAGCACAGACCCTGCGTGCCCCCTTGCCATCAGGTCCCAGGAAGAGAAGCCAAGTGATGGTGGGGGCTGGGAGCCCGGATGCCTGGGTTCTCTCCCAGCTCTGGGAGGGGTGCAGGTCTGGTGTTTTGGAGCTCCGGCATGGGGCTGTGGGTGGGTGGGGGAGAGGGAGCCGGGTTCTCACCTTCATCTCCCCC